ACTCATAAGAATATAACAGGGAGGGAATCCAAGCTAGATGAATGACACTTCTCTCAGTTTAAAAGTAGAGCTATTGATTTCCAGGATAAGGGTACAGACTTCGGCATACGAAGCTGATCCTTATTGGCTGATAAAGGTTTCAGCTTTCACCTTAACCATATCTTTAATTCCAAGAAGTTTAGATGTGAAACATCATCTCTGACATTATGCTCTGAAAGCCCACTAAAGCTGTTTTGATCCAGTGAGACATTCTTGATATATGAAGGTATTAACACCTATTGTCTTGTCATAATCAGGTTTAGACAGAGCAGATTGCTTCTGTGAAAGTGAGGTTTCCAGTGAGACACAGCATTTGTGTCTGGCCTAGCATTAAAGTCACTTTTTTCAACCTACTGTAAGGTGGAAAGTTACAGAAGTTGACTGAACACCTAGCTGGCTTCATAGTCACCACATCTGACTAATTGTTACAGGAGTGCTCTGTGTGGGAATTCCAGTCTGTGAGATTCCCTGCAGGCAGGCCCTGCAGTGCACAGGACTGTTCATAGGTACTGTCTCCATGCCTCAATGCATTGAGTACTAATCCTGGGAGGACCGGGGAACTGCTGTGTACGAGGATTTGGCAGAACAGCAGGTCAAGGAGACTGTCTTAGCCCAAGACCCCAAGGACCCTTGTTATCATCCAGACAGCAAACACGTTTATTCATGAGGTTCTCCATGTGAGTCTTACTGTATTCAAAACATCCCAGTAAATCAGGGTTTTTAATAAACACTCCATGTCTGTACAACACTGAAGAGAAAATCTATGTCATGACATGAAGTTACACTATGATTTGAGGGCTTTCTCTCAGACCTTTTCAGTTTCATTTATGCACCATTGCAGATTTGATCCTGCACAAGGCTCCTCTTGAAAACAAAAAACGCAACAGAACGCATTTCTGTAAAATGCACATTACTGATTAAAGATGGTGTACTAATATGCATGCATCAGCGAGAGAACGCTCATGAGTGAGTCTTGTTAATCAGATGCTCAGCGCATCCTACTGAACATTTCACATGCATCCCATGTATTGCTGGTACAGGATAACAAGATTTAATTTTATATACATCATCTTAACCAGTTAAGCAACAAGCTTTCTGTTGAACAACCAACACACACTCTAACCCATATATTTAAAACTTTTTTCTATACATTATTCTTGAATAACTGAAAGTCTTAGTAAGGATCTCCAAACTCCCATAAAGGGTAGCCAAAGTCTACTAGTAAGGAATATAGTGCTCCAGTCCCTTCATCATCTTCATGGGCCTTTGTTGTATTGTCTCCAGTATGTCTATGTCTCTCTTGTACTGGGGAACCCAGAACTGGCCATAATACTTTATACAAATTCTGGATCTTTTGTGGACAAGGTCTAGGACCATGGGGGAGTTCCTGGGAACTCACTGAGAAATTTGAGGGTGCCTGCTGCCATCAGGTATGGGCAAGGAAAAGGGAGCCACAAGGCTGTGAGCCTGAGGAAGCTCCATCAGCTTCTGTTGAACTTGGCCAGCTGCCCTTGACCCAGGTGCCTGGAGCTCTGGCGGCATCTGCCCCCAGCTGGGGAGGGTCAACCTCCCTTTCAGCTAGCTCAAAGGAGATGTAAAAGTGCATCACTCAGAGGGCAGCAAGAGAGCTTAGGGAACTCCTCTTTCTGGATAAAAGGAACTCTTAACTGTTTAACTACTTTGGAAAGAGAAACTGAATGATGTATCAGTTTATTTTCCTGTGATTTTTGTTGGCAGATGGAGCCTTTTTGCCTGGCGTCTTTAATCCCATTTTCTGGAAGAGGATAATGGCAGTGGAAGGTGCTTCAGTGAAGGTTCTTAGGTAGGGTTAAAGCGGGCAGAAAAAGCAGATTCATAGAGAGGAAGTGACAAATGATCCCAGAATATCTTTACAGGCATGTAAATATCTTGCTGACCATGCTTGGCCCAGTTGCTTTTAAACAAGAAACTCAGCTGCTACTGTACTAACTGATATAAAATACGTGGTGTTTACTCATCAAGTCTGTTTGCCACCATCCGGGTTTTCTACCTGTACGCAATGAGTATTTTCAACACAAATTCTGCTGCTTCTGTAGCAGTCATGAGTATCAGGTGAAGCTCATGGCCTCGTTTGTCATATTAGCAATGACAGTTACAGAGAATTATTCTGAAACATTTAGTCCACAGTAATCAGCTGCTGTCTACTGCAACAACACTTTAGTAGGCCCAGATATAGGAAGGAACCTATGAAATACACCATCTCTTAAGTCTCCTACCCCTGATTCTCACATTATGCATTTCAAAATAACTAGCTTTATCCATACTGATATTAATGTATTTATCTACATCCTGAGCTGTCTGAAGAATAATTGTCCCAGTTGCCTTCCAGTCATACTGGAAGGGTTGTTGGGGCTCTCTTTAATGATGCTTTCAAAAAAAATGGTGCTATCTATATTTCTGCATGTAATTACATCTTCTGAGTTTTTGTTTATCCTTAGAGTGCCAATGAATAGGGTTTTTTTCTGTTTTCAGTTTTGAAGATTTTGACTATAGCATATTAATGTACATTTCTAAAACAACCTACATACTGTATTTAAAATGTACTTTGAAAGTTGTCGATACTACACCTCACAAGAAAAAATACCAGTAATATGCATGCTAACTCCTGTGCTGTCTGTGAGGATGCACACCTTTTGTGTATACATGCATAATAGAATTAAACCAAGTGAATCTTCTTACTGTCAAAGTCCAAGCATAAAAGATTCCAGTAAGGTAATTCTGCTGGCCAAAAAAAAAGGGTAATCTCTAGCTGGTTATCTTTTCAGGAAGCCTAATGGGCATTGCAGGCAAGTTTTAAACCTAATGAACACAGCTGCCTAAAAATCATGAAGTAGAAGACCATTTTGTTGAAAAATGGCAATAGCTAATGAACCTGAAATGTTATGACTCCATAATTTTAGATTCAGTAATAAATGTTGTATTATTACTGAAGACAAAGTAGAACTCCAGAATATTTTGCTCTTGGGCAGAAACAAATGAGCTGATATACTGGGATAGGTCAAAGACCTGTGCATCTTCCATCAGACAGGAGTCAAAAGGAGATGCCTTGGATAATAGAGCAATCCTTCTGTGTGCAAACTCTTCAGCTTCTGTCAGTCAGCAATTTAGAGACTTCCTGAAGTGCTTTCCTCTCTCTTTGACAACAACTGACATACATCCTCAATACATCTGCATAACAGCACCTGCCCTTTGCAGCATCATTTGCAGGGAGTTTCAAAATTTTAGAGTATTTCCTATGTCTAACTTTAAAACTGTTATCTGAAGATTTAACCTGGTGTCCTGAAGTTCCTGCACTGTCAGAAACACGGAGTGGTAACTATTGTTATTCTCGCCATGCACAATTTACAGATACTCTTATCTAATGTCCTTTTAGTAATTTTTTTTTCCAGGGTGAGACGTTCTAATACATTTGCTCTTTCTTTCTACAAAGATCTTCTCTGATCATGTGTCACCACTTCTGCAGCATTTCCAGATGTCTGAAATGGGCTCATCACATAGAGAAGATGCAGTCAAGATGTGGAAGCACAGTGGATAAAAGCAGAGATATAAGGAAGCTTCCTATTTCATCCCTGGTAACTCCTTTTTCTGTTGCTGAGAGTTGAGGTTAAGTTCAGAGAAAACTATCCACAATGACGAAGACCTTGGTCCTGGTCAGTTATTGTGCATATAACTAATGTAGTATTTCCCACCACGTATTTCTAAATTAACTTAATCTGCTGTTTTTTCACCAGATGACTTACTCTTGTGATATTTATGCATAACCCTACATTATCTGTTTTGGTTCGGAGGATCCTGAACAAGTCCAGTAACATTAGCCACCTTTTATAACCACATTGTTCATCCTCTCTTCGAAATGTTGTATGAACATGCTGAACAATATGATCCATGAGATATCCTGATGATAACCTCACTCCACTGTGGAACCTGAAAGTGTTTTTATCTTTTAACCTTTTCCTCCACATTACTGGTTTGTGACAAATTTGGGGATGAAAAACTGTTTTGGACACATTGAATACATACTTGTTTTCTATTAATAACCCCGTAATTTTGGTCAGCTCTGTAATAATGCTTTGTGGGCTGCTTAAAATTGTTATAGAAACAGTGTTTTGCTTATAAAATAGAGTGATTTCTTTCTGCAATAATATGTTTTGAATGCACATATGTTTGAATGTTTTGAACGTGGTTTTTAATGGGGAAAAGCAAGGGGGCAGGAAATAGACAAATAGGGGAAATGCTGTTGGGATAAGAAAGACAAGAGGCAACTCTCCATTACTATGTATCTCCTCACAAATCAGTACTTGAAATCAGATAGGTACAACCCATGTGGATAAAGCCATCCCAGCTGACTTGTACATACACACTTAAACTCTAAGTTTCTTGCCTTACAGATACTGTTTTTGTGAACTTTCTTAACTGTGCCAATATTCTGCTGTTGAACAGACTGTTGTCTCTATTTGTTTCTCCAGATTTGCATCATTTCTCTATCCTCTTGTTTGTTTTTAGGTGGCATCTGTTATGTCATTATATCAATGAATTCAGAGCTCCTAAAAGCAGTAAAACAGTTGTACTAGATTTTATTGAAGTGGTGGAGCTGTGTGCTTCTGGTGGAATGCAGTATCTGGTTTAAGGTAAAATCATGTGATACTGTGGTCTGACTTTAATGGTTTTTGTTAAGGAAAAGACCCTTCAGACCTCAAACGTGTTGAAGACCAGTAGTATATGCTGTGCTATGCTGTTCAAAGCCAATGCACCAAGAAAATAACAGATTCACTTTTGTCATGCATAAGGTCATACATCAGAACTAGAACAGATTTAATGGAGGCTGTCCTGGCACTCATGCACAGCACTAAGCTGTTTAATGTTCAGTAGTGTTTTCTGTTAAGTCTTATATCCTGGAGAACCCCAAAAAACATAGCCCATACTTCATTTTAAAATTATTTTTATTTAAAAGGGACACCTTGAACATCTGTCCATTGATGCAGAAGAACTGATGATGTTGCCATGCTGAGGAAAAAGCAATACTCCCTTAGCAGTTTGAAGCTGCACAGTTCTGTGGTGATCTCTCTTAGCTTTTCTTGCATGCATTAATAACATTTATTAAATAGCATTAGGTAAGCACAGTCAGTGAGTTTTATAAAGGTCATTCAGAAGTGAAGTAGATAATTCAGAAAGACAATGTCTTTTCTCCAACAGATGAGTCTTGTCTGCAGTACAGTTAACGAAACATTGTCACGTATCTAGTTTTGAAATAATATGAGTAGTTTTGTACTCTAGGCATACAATTTTAACCTTAAACATCAAATAATTTATCTGCTTCCATTATTTTTATGTAAAAATTCTTATGCAGAACTTATTTCTATGTGAGTAGAATCACTTTTTATGTAAATTCTTGCATTTAGATACTCAATGCTTGTAAGTGGGGATCTGAGTACCTTGCCTAAACATTAAAAAACAACAAACTTCTCATAATACTTCTCATTAGGTCATGTAAATAAGTTCTGCAAAATATGATCTGGTAATGTATGTTCTTCTCAATACAAATTTTGTACAACACTGGGTCTGGTCTCCTTTTTACTTGCTACCGTGAGACAGAAACTTATTTTCTAGCTTTGCACATACCATAGTGACCAGGTGATTTATCTGACTGCTCTTTTGAGCTCTTCCCTGCAACTCTTTATGACTATTAAGGACTTTTCACAGATAACTTTCTCTCAAGGCTTGCTCATTGTGTTGTAAGGTTTTTTGTGTTCTGTAAAATATGTTACTGTTTTTGTTTTCCTCTCAATTCTTTTTATGCTCACAGGAAAGGCACAGATGCACATCCATCTGCCTAACAACACCCATCCAGCAAAAAGCAATGCTTATATTTTTGCTGCTTTGGTTGTTGTTGGTTGGTTGGTTGGTTGGTTTGGTTTGGTTTTCTTCCCCCCCCCCCCCCCCTCTTTTTTTTTTTTTTTTTAACTGTCATTTGCACTGCTCTTGACCATTCTTCCAGCTGAAGATACCAGTATCTTCATTCTGATAAGGACTGTACAGAGCCTTCTACTGGAAAGTCTTTCTTGCATTGTAAAACTCTCAATTGCAACTTTTGAGTCAGGAACACCTCCAAATGTTATAAATATTCAATGGCTTTGACAGTCAGGTCACTTCTACTTGAAATGTGCATGTAGCAGCCTTGTATCAAGCATCATTGCCTGAAAGTTTGTCTGTGAGCCTTTAATGTCAGTGGATGAAGACAAAGAAATCTGGTTTAATTATCTGTGCAACATGACACCACTGAGGGAGATATTCGCCTCTGGCTCCTAATCTTCCTTATCTTTGTTATGTTTTAAAGCAGAAAGGCTGAGATTCTTTCATAAATTGCCTGAAGCTTGTTATCATGGGAAGCCTGTCACCCATGATTAAATAGCAATGCAAATTTGCTTCAAGAATAATTACTTTGAAAATGCATTGAGGTAACAAAGTTGCATTATACCTCATGTTTCTCAAATTGACTGTAGGCACAGGATCTGCTTCCAGATGTTTGACTGTTTCCATGTCTTCAGCTTCTGTATTATGTGTACCAGCTTTTATTATTATTTTTTAATAGGCCAGTAAAGAGAACCATGCCCTAATTTACTCCTTGTAAGGAGTAAATTTTTGCTTGCAGTACTTACATGTATGGTGTGTATTTTTGGAATATTATGATGATCTGATTTTTTTTTTAGATTCTAAAGTACCTATTTTTCAGAAGTGCAGACATTCTAATAAAATAAAATGCAGTACCACTAACAGTTCTGTTTTGAAATAAGCTTTTCAAAGAACTATTGCAGTGGGAGAATATAACGATAAAATGTAATCTTTCTGAAGTACTGTTATCAGTATTAAATAATTGCAATAAGCTATTCTGAGAATTGCAAATGTACAAGTGACTTAAGTCAGTGCCCATTTCTTTTCATTAGTAGGACACACGACTTATGGATTTGTGATTTCACAGTGAGAAGAAATGACCAGACTGTTAAAATGCTTCTGAGTATTTTAAATTATTTCCACAGTAATGCACTGAGTCCCAGCCAACACAAAGTGCTCAGCCTTTGAGCACAAATTTGATGAAGATTCAAAAATCCTCTGATTAGGGTTCAAAGGAAAGAACTATTCACCAACCTTGTAAGCATTTGTCAGTCTCCATCCCAAATATCTCAGTGCCTGCTTTAGCACATGTGTAAGGAAACAGGAAAACTGGATGTCAGAGAAAGTGGCACCTAAAGAGAGAAAGAAGGCAGGTGGCTTATACTTTTGTGGGTTTTCCAGATTGGGATAGATGATCATTTCCATTAAAAGCTAGCCTATTATTTAATTTGAATCGGAATTGTCTTTAGGGCTCCCCCAGTCCTGCAGACCCTTTCAAAATACTTATCTTTTAAAGAACCAAGAAAAGCCAATATTGCATGTAGTTCCTCTAAAGATGTTCTCCGCTAGTTCAGATGTCGAATTTTGCAGTCCTGAGGTTGATCACCTGTTTTGCTCTAATGGGTTGGTGTCCGAGTGACCCTCCAGGTATGCTGAGATGATAAACACAGGGATTTTGCAGTAGCTGTATAAGAAGTGAGTTAGAAAAGGGTGGTAGACAGTTGAGACATATGTCTGGTAAGTACTTACCCAAACAGCTTTAGGGAGTTTACATGAGATCAGACGCTGCTCATCTTAATCACTTGTTAAATCCTTCGTGCAGTTGTTGATATCCAGGAGACCAAACGGGTATCTGTTTTAAATATTTGCATCAGATACTAGGTCAAGGAACAAACAATAATCAAAGTTTACATCCATCTTGATACCTGCTTGGATTGGCAACTTGACTGTTTTTAAGAGCAGAATCTTTGAGCCCCTAGAATGCACTTCGGAAGAAAACCTTGCACCAGAGACATTAAAAATGGACCTTCAGAAAGGGCTCAGCAAAAAATGAAGAGAACAACAATCCTGCCCTGACTGCGCAGTGCACAAATAATGATTCCACTGTTTTATTTCTATTTCTGTCTTCCACAGCTTAATGATTGTGATCCTTATGCTCCTGCTGCTGTATTTTGTGCTTTCCCTTCCCTTCTCTTCCCTCCTCCCTACCCTTCCCTTCCTTTTTTTTTTTTTTTTTTTTTTTTTTGCATGTGGTACTTAATGGCAGGTATAATGTTCTGATCCTTACTGACTCAGATGTCATTTTGACCTTTTCCTGACTCACTTGTTGCCTTTGTGTCAGCTGCCTTCATAAACCTAAAGGGAAAGGCTTACTTTAATGTAAAGGGAATTTCAGGTATATAATTACCAGGTGCTATGTTGGTCTGGTAACCACTGAAGTACTAAATTAATCACCAGAAAATTGAATTACTCAGATGTATAATGGTTATAAGGATCATTTTCTCACCTGTCAATTGCAATCTGTTCCACTGGCAAAAATAAAGCTTGCTGGCAGAAGAATGTAACCCTTGCTGTTATCTTCTGTGAAATGCCATTGCAAGAATTTATTGAAAAAAGCATAAAGAAGAAGAGCCTGCTCCTTGTTGTTTTTTCATGTCTCCCCAGTATAAATATTCAAGACGAAAATGTATTAATTCCAGTTCTCAAGAACACATTTATACTTTGCTATTTTAGCTACCTTTTAACATCTACATGCTTTGTTTTTTTGCTACATAACAATTTAGGCAATAGGAACAAGGTAGTACTCAGCATGCAAAAATTATTTATAACAAAGTTCTGCATCAATGCCAGAACTAAGACTATCAATTTTTTATGCAGCTAAGACTGTATGTGAAAAAGGTGACATACCCACCTGAGTTTCTTGGTAAAGCGTGAAGAAATTAAATGATGAAGGCAAAGTATGTAGCTGGCATGTTAAGCTTGGTACACGTGAGCTATGTTCTTTCTCTTTACATGGTAGTTTCTATTTATCAACCCTAACCCTAACCCTAACCCTAACCGTAACCCTAACCCTAACCCTAACCCTAACCCTAAACCTAATAGCCAAAACTAAGCCTAACACTAACCCTAACCCTAAACCTAATAGCCAACTCAAAACCTAATAGCCAACCATAACCCTAACCCAACAGCCTAACCCCAAACCCTAACGCTAACCCTAACCCTAACCCTCAGACCCAGCCAGCGAACCCTAACCCTAACCCTAATCCTACTCCTAACCCTAACCCTAACCCTAACCCTAACCCTAACCCTAACCCTAACCCTAACCCTAACCCTAACCCTAACCCTAACCCTAACCCTAGCCCTAAACCTTGGACACAGCCAGCCAACCGTAACCCTAACCCTAATGTTAACCCTAAACCTAACCCTAACCCTAACCCTAACCCTAAACCTAAGCCTAACCCTAACCCTAACTCCTAACCTAACCCTGAAACTAACCCTAACCATAAACCTAAGCCTAACCCTAACATGAACTACTAAACCTAACCCTAAAACTAACCCTAAACCTAACTCTTACCCTAACCCTAACCCTAACCCTAAAACTAGCCCTAAACCTCGGAAACAGCCAGCCAACCCTAACCCTAATCCTAACCCTAACCATAACCCCAACCCTAACCCAAACCAATACCCAATTCTAACCCTAACCCTAACCCTAACTCTAACCCTAATAGAAAACCCTAACCATAACCCTAACCCTGGGACCCAGCCAGCAAACCCTAACCATAACCCTAACCCTAACCCTAACACTGACCCTAAATCAAACCCTAACTCTAAACCTAATAGCAAATCCTCACCATAACCCTAAGCCTAACCCTAATAGCCAACCCTAACCATAACCTCTAACCCTAACCCCTAACTCTAACCCTAAGGGTAAACCTAACCATAACCCCTAATCCTAATCCTAACCCTAACCCTAACCCTAACCCTAACCTTAACCCTAACTATAACCCTAAAACTAGCCCTACACCTCGGACGCAGCCAGCCAACCCTAGCCCTATTCCTAACCCTAACCGTAACCCTAACCCTAAACCTAACCCTAACCCTAACCCTAATAGCCAACCCTAACCCTAAGCCTAACCCTCACATTTGGACACAGCCAGCCAAACCTAACCCTAACCCTAACCCTAACCCTAACCCAAACCCTAAATCTAACCCTAACCCTAACCCTAACCTTAACCCTAACCCTAACCCTAACTCTAACCCTAATACCCAACCCTAACCCTAACCGTAACCCTAACCCTAACCCTAACTCTAACCCTAACACTAAACCGTCAGACACAGCCAGCCTACCCTAATGCTAACGCTAGCCCTAATCCTAACCCTAACCCTAACCCTAACCCTAATCCTAACCCTAACCCTAACCCTAACCCTAACCCTAACCCTAACCCTAACCCTTACCCTAACCCTAAACCTAACCCCGACCCTAACCCCAGCCAATGCCCAACTCTAACCCTAACCATAACCCTAACCCTAATAGCCAACCCTAACACAAAACCTAACTCTAACTGTAACACCTAAACCTAACCCCTAAACCTAACCCTAACGATAACCCTAACACTCGGACCCAACCAGCCAACACTAACCCTAACCCTAAACCCTGACCCTAACCCTAACCCTAACTCTAACCCTAACACTAAACCCTCGGACACAGCCAGCCAGCCCTAACCCTAACCCCAACCCTATCCCTAACCCTAACCCTACCAACCCTAACCCTAACCCTAATAGCCAACCCTAACCCTAATAGCCAACCCTAACCCTAAACGTAACCCTAACCCGAACCCGAACCCGAATGCTAACCCCTTACCCTAACCCCTAACCCTAACCGTAACCCTAATGCTAACCCTAACCCCGAACCCTGACTCCTAACCCTAACCATAAACCTATCCCTAACCCTAACCCTAACCCTAACCCCTAACCCCTAACCCTAACCCTAACCCTAACCCTAATAGCCAACCCTAACCCTAACCCGAACCCTAACCCCTAACCCTAACCCCTAACCCTAATCGCAACCCTAACCTTAACCCTAACCCTAACTCTAAACCTAATAGAAAACCCTAACCATAACCCTAACACTGGAAGATTTCCATTGCACTTCCAAGTGCCCATATTCAAACTTGGCAGTCTGCACTAATTACCTTGCCATCAAAGTTTTTCTCTTCGCTTCCAGAGGTCTCACAGCATTGAAGTGTGCTTCAGAGCTTGTTCAAATTGCATGCAGTTTGTGAAAGAGAAAATACCATTGTTTCTAGCTGCTTGGAGACAAACCAGGGCAGGATGTTCCTTTTAAATAACTGTTTTACACAGAGAGTGAAGTTTTTTTTTTTCCTCATAAGGCTGCTGTGCCTGGCAGCAGTTACCTTTAGGGTTGAAAGAAAAGCATGTGATTTGCAAAACACAAATCCCTTGTTTGTAACTGGAAGTAGATAAGCTTTTTCTCTGTAATTCAAGAGGCATTTGTTATATTAAGCTACAGAAATGAGGAAGCAAAGGTTCCCTTACTGTGATGAGAGGAAAATCATGGCTCAAAAGTTCTTTTGTGACTGGATGTGGACCCCAGCCTTGCTGAAGAGATCTGGTCAAAGTCCCTGCATCTCAGACAGGTGGGATCCACTCCACTTTCGTTTAGGGCTCTGGAGGAAGTCATTCTCTCCCAAGGTCCCTTCTGGCCTCAATTTGTCCAAGGTGGAAGATTACCTGCATGCTATGAATGGGCTTAGAAACTTAGGGACTCTTTCAGTAATCAATTTTGTCTTTATCAGGAGGTTATATAGGGTTATAAAGGTGGAGTTTCTATTACAAATCCATTATATACACACCTTTATTTAAACTTATTATCTCTCAAAGTTAGGAAATCTATTCTACTCAAGGCCAACAGAAAAAAAAACAGCAGTTTGAGAAATATAATAAATGGAAACACTACAATAGTTAAGGTGAGTTCTTTATAAATTACTATTTCTTACAGGAAGACTCATATTTAGATGTGATCTTCTATGAAATATAGGAGTTCACTTACTAAAAACTTTACTATTGATATTGTGACTTGTATATACAGACATGAAATATGATATTTAATGTAGGTGGATCTTTATTTTTTTGGTTTAGTGAGGCTTTCTTTAACTTGGCCTCTGAAGGAAAAACATATTTTAATTAGATCAAAGCTGTAGAAAACATCTCTAAAAATGAAGGGTAAATCCTCTATGTAGTAAAGGATGATTTTTAAAGGTACAATATGCACATCTTGAAAAAACATAGAGATAGCTGAGCAACTAGCTGAACTCTTCTACTTTTCCTACTGGGGAAAACACTTTGGACCATCTTCCCATACTCCTTGTGGATATGCTGTTAACTTTTTCTTGGTGAAGGAAGTAGAAAATCACCTTTCCTCTTCCCCTCTCTCCTATGCTATTTTATTATTATTATTATTATTATTATTATTATTATTATTATTATTATTATTATTATTATTATTATTATTATTATTTCATACCACAGTTTTAGTTTTACTGTTACGAAAAGCAGCAGAAAGCAACCACCACTCACTCATTCTAGTGCAGGGACCGATCTCCCATTATGTTCACCCCTATTTATACTCAATAGCTTAACGCAGACAGCTTTAAACAGGAACAATTTTTTTCCTTGACACTTTTTCTGATGTACTCCTCAGTATTTCTGCCATTACAATTTTTTTCAACTTTAGCTCATCCCACACCTGGATCTCCAAGATTTTTCTGTAAACATCTTCATTTTTCTGTAAATATTTCCATTTTTGTATGCACCCTATTTCAAAGAACTGCCCTCTCTACCTACTGCTTTCCATGTTTCATTTTGCAGAGCTGCTCCTAGACCACAGAGTGGGCCTGCTGTGGTAATTTTGTGCTTTTGTGTGGTATGTATGGCTACGGCGTGTCTTTGTTCAACATCAGTGTGAAGAGAACCACCAGCACTGATGAAGATCTTTAGGTACAAAGAAAACACTCCTGTTTCACCACTGCTACCCACTGTCCCATTTTTTAGGAAATCTGCTTTGTCATTGTGGCATTTATTTTGAGCCCAGATTTATTCTGCTTTTTTTTTCTTTTTTTTTTTTTCCTGAGCTAAAGAAAAGCATCCTCATAAATTTAAATGACTGTCAGTTGTACAATGCCACCTACAAAAGCTAAGAGTCTTCAATCTCAACTCATCTAGTATCTATAACATTCAGTTTAAGAAAAAAAGATGAAGAAAAACTCTGGTTGTTGAAGACCTTGTCTTACTCTAAACTTTACCTAAAACTAGTCCTTGTAGTTCTATTGGAACTCATCTCACAACCAGAAACTTGCAGATAGTGCTGTTGCTGCTTGCTGTTGCCTGTTGCCGCCTTCTCTTCGCAAACCACATCCTGTGATTGTTTTCATTGAAATTCATAAATTTCTTCTTGCACCTGACAATTTACCAGGGCAATAACAACCAATCATTATCCAATCCATCATTTGGATTTGATGATGGATTTCCAAATATTGTACACTTCTTTTCCCAGGTTATGGGTTACATTAAGGTGAGAATTTCTTTTGTTTTTCAAGAAAGGCTTCCGCTTCATCCCAGCGTAAGCCAAACTTGCAGAACATCTATGGAATAGCAAATTGCTACCCATTGTGTTGAAATAGGACACAGAAATAACTACTGTGAATTGGAGTTATGTTGGAGTAGATAAAGTAATATAAACAGGCATTACATTTTATACTTTGTGCTGCCCTGTATATTAGTGCAAACAAACAATCAAAAAAAATGCCTTGTGTGATAAGAAAGTGAGATAAATGGTGACACAAGTAGGACTAATAAAGCTGTAAACAATATAATCTAATAATATTGTGTTCATTATACCCTTAATACTTAGAGTTATAATCAACTTTTTTTTTTTTTTTCTTGCCAAATACGCATTGAGGAAAGGCAAGTCTCTTGTTCTGTCTACGCTTGTGTGTACACAGGGAAAAATACCTTCCAGGTCAGTACTTTTCTCATCTTGATGTTTTCTCTGCCATCTTTTACAGCTTGACATATTGCTAGTCTTAGAAAAGTCCTCCAAAGTGTTCCTGCCCTTAGTACCTCATGTTTTCTTGAAGTGAATGTGTGGAACGCTGTTCTAGCTCTGTTTGAGCAATCTCCACCTGTCCACCTGGAGATCTTCATAATGCAACTTATTACTACATATCACAGAATCACAGAATTTCTAGGTTGGAAGAGACCTCAAGATCATCGAGTCCAACCTCTGACCTAACACTAACAGTCCCCACTAAACCATATCCCTAAGCTCTACATCTAAACGTCTTTTAAAGACTTCCAGGGATGGTGACTCCACTACTTCACCAGACAGCCCATCCCAATGCCTAACAACCCTCTCAGTAAAGAAGTTCTTCCTAACATCTAACCTAAAACTCCCCTGGCGCAACTTTAGCCCATTCCCCCTCGTTCTGTCACCAGTCACATGGGAGAACAGGCCAACCCCCACCTCACTACAGCCTCCTTTAAGATGACTATTTCTGACTTCCTGTTCAAACCTCAGGTACCTGCATGGAGAAATTCTAATCTCTATTTGCTCAATAATTAAAGATGAGTATTGACCACCAACCTGGATGAATATTTGTCAAATAAATGTGAATCGTGCTGTCCCTCATTACCTACACAGATTCAAAGTATAAAGGAAAACAGCCATATAAACATTATCCTTGCTTCATGTTAAGAACAATTTGCACATGACCTCTGTAGTTACCCACTGAAAAGCTTTGGTTGCCTAAGATGCAGTGTCACTCTTCCTGGATTACTAAAGCATTTCAGTAAGACAATAGTATATACTTGCTCATACAGAGGCTTTACCATATCTGCTAAAATAATAATAACAAGCATTGAAACATGCTTACAAGACCTCAGAAAAATGGACAGCAGCAGTTCTTCTCCCAAGGTGTAACAGTCCTATTCTGGGAACCTCCATGCAGAATTCAGCCTCATCAGAACTCAGGAAGTAGTGCTGGCAAGCATGGTCATAGGTGCTGCAGTCCAAATTTGCAAAGAATTTAAAAATATGTAATCTAAACCCTTACTATCATCCAAATAATTGTCTTTAGTTTTTCTAGGGAAACTACAGGAAATTTGTCTATAATACTCTTTTTGTCTTAGCCAAAGCAGCTTTTATTATTATTATTATTATTATTATTATTATTTATTTCTTGGGAAAGGAAAAGCTTAATTTAATAATTTTGGGGGCTGTTTCCAGTCTCTCTGATCAAGAGTTAATTTATTGTCATTTTTTTTGAACCACAAGCTATTTTTCAGTCTGTTCAAAATAAAATGAACAGTCCTGTTCAAAATAAAATGGAAAAATATCACAGAATTTCTAGGTTGGAAGAGACCTCAAGATCATCGAGTCCAACCTTGTTGTCCCAGCTGATCCTAACCCAAAGGGACTCGACCTTGTCATTCCCAGCCTCGAGTTCTACAACATCGAAAGACTCTCTAATATAGAGAGCCACACCGCCACCCCTTCTGTGCTGCCTGTCCCTTCTGAAGAGCTTATAGCCAGGCATTGCAGCACTCCAGTCATGAGACTGGTCCCACCACGTCTCCGTGATGGCAACCAAGTCGTAGCCTGCCTGCTGCACGATGGCTTCCAGCTCCTCCTGTTTGTTACCCATGCTGCGTGCATTGGTGTAGATGCACTTCAGCTGGGCCATTACCTCATCCCCCGGCCTTGCCATTGTTCCCCCTGGCACAGCTCCAACAATCCTTGCTTCAGCCCCATCCCCCTTCTTACCTAGTTTAAAGCCCTCTCAATGAGCCCTGCCAGCTCCTGGCCCAGGATCCTTTTTCCCCTAAAAGATAGGGACCTGTCTGCGGCCATCAGGCCAGGTGCTGAGTAAAGTGCCCCATGGTCGAAAAACCCAAGATTTCTGCGTTGGCACCAGCCCCGGAGCCACGTGTTTAACAGGTGGGCTTTCCGTGTCCTCTCTGTACCCCTCCCTTCCACCGTAGGGATGGATGAAAACACCACCTGCACTCCCACTCCATCCACTAACCGTCCCAGCCCCCTAAACTCTCTTTTGATAGCCTTCAGGCTTCTCTCTTCAATGTCGTCACTGCCCGGCTGGACTATCAAAAGAGGATAATAATCAGAGGGGCGTACCAGGTTGGGAAGCTTCCTGGCAACGTCCCTGACCCTGGCCCCAGGGAGGCAGCAGACTTCCCTACGGGTAGGGTCAGGCCGACAAATAGGGCCCTCTGTTCCCCTAAGAATAGAGTCTCCAACAACAATAACCCTCCTGTCTTTCTTGATGGAGGCATTCCTGAGGCGTGGAGT